GGAAATGCTGTTGCTGGTACACCAGCCAAAACTGGGCAAAGATGCTTCTGGTCACTGCAGCAACTTAGGGGGATTGCAGAGAGGCGGCACAGAGATACCCCGGGAAGTGGTGGATTGGGGCCATGGCTACCCCACACAGCGACCCCGATTCTCCCTTTTGCCACACCCCTGATGCCGTTGGTGTGGGGTTGGGGCAGCCGGTGTGCAGCTGCCCTGTCCCATCTCTGCCTCCAGGCCAGCCCTGTAAAGACCCTTAGCTTTCCAGGATTAGCTCTGAGTCCAAGAGCACCCCCAAGATATTTCTGACCAGGAACATCTTTGTCTTGTCTGGATTAAGCCTCAGCCTATTCAACCACATCCAGTCCTTTACTGTCTCCAGCCACCTATTCAGTACTACCACAGCCTCTTTGGCATCAGATGCAAAGGAGAGCTAGAACTGGGTATCACCAGCATCCTGATGACACTCAACCCAAAACACTGGATGACCTCTCCCAGCAGCTTCATGTAGTTGTTAAAAAGTACAGGGGACAATATTGACCCCTGAGGAACCTCACAGGCTAATGGCCAAAGGTCTGAACAACAGTCCCCCAGCACCACCTTCTGGAAACATTCAGCCAAGAAAGATTGGAACCATTGCAAAACAATGCCCCCAAGTCCCATATCTGTCAAATGACCCAGAAGGATACCATGGCCAATGGTATCAAATGGTGCTGAAAGATCCAGGACCCTGTACAACTCCTGCTATGGGCTATCTTCTTCGGTTAATCAGGTTTCAGTTATACATGCAAGGGCACCCTGCTTCCTTGTTCAGAATCAAGTCCTGAATTATACAGCTTTTCCTAGTCACTGACTTGGCATTAAGCAATAACACTTTATGGTCTGATAGGGTTTTACTAGAGTAGACAGGAATCGGTTGGTTGGATGGTGACCCAGAAAGAGAAACTGCCATGTGATGACTCGTCTCCCTTCTCCTCCATATCCCCCCCTTGCCCATTATTATTGAAATTGCAGCACCCCTTGTATATTCCAAACACATACTTGGATGACCAGAAATAAAGAACAAACAAACAATCATAAACAAACACATGTCAGTTTATCCTAAAGCACTCCCAAAATATAGCCAAAGCTGGCCTTGTGGGATTCTATTCAATATGCATTCCATTTTCTTATTTAGAGAGCAAACCTGCTCTCCTGGCAAAAGCTTCCCAAGGCCAATGTACAGTAGCATGTCTTGCGCTGCTGTCCATTACATCTAGATTCAGTGGGAAAAACAGTTCTCCATTGTGCCAGAAGCTAAGCTCCATAGGACAACAGCCCTTGTGCTCTCTCCAAGAGGCCCCCACTTCTGGCAGGATGCCTGCCTTAACAATACCTGCAGGCGGAAGGAGTCAAACATGGTCTCAGGAACTCAGGGGTCTCCATTTTCAGCTTCCTGCACAGCAACCAAGTTTCTCCAGTCCCTTGGCAAGATGCCTGCCTTAACACATCTTCAATAATTCAAATTCCTTGCAGTACTGTTGTTGTTGCCCTTTTCCTTGACAAGCAAAAGTGTGAGCAAAGTTTTTGGCCTAACGTGATTAAACTTCAGCAGCCATTAGAGGCCAGGTTAAATTTCCTCAGGGGTAGATCTCTTCCACTTGCTGCCAGTTGGTTTTTACTGCCTTATTATTATTATTATTATTATTATTATTATTATTACTATTCTAGATTTTCAATTTTATTGCAGGTGTTTCCCCTTCTGGTCAGTGGAGGCATGTTACTGTGAGGAATTTATTCTAGATTTGTGTAATACTGGATTTGGGAGGGAGTTGTTTGCGTCTCTGAGAAGCTCTGAATAGCTTCCAAAAGAGACAGAGTGGAATATAATAGTTCAGAGGTAAGAGGAGCTCCCCAAGCTCTCTGAGGTATTTCTCTCTCTGTGACAGACTGTGCTTGTTTGCTATAGGAATAGGTCTGGATCTATACTGTTGTTTTTTGGGGGTGACAGTCTAACATGCATGATTTCTTTCACATTAGATCTGTTCTTATCTGATTTATAATCAGGATTGTGTGTATATTCTACAAACATCTATTCTAACCTCCTTTTCAGTGGTCAATGAGAAGACCAGAATGGAAAAGTTCCATTCTTTTATCTCCCCTTTCTAAGTAAGATCCTAGAGCAACTGGTAGAGCAATCTGGCCCTACCACCTGGCCCTTAACCTGACCTGAATTTGATTGGTTGAGGCAGGAAGAAGCTACTAGAACCACTGGGATGAGAGCAAAGCCACTGCAGTTTTCTGTCCTCTCATACCAATGTGCAGCATAAAACAAGGATAGATACACAGAACACGAGAATCCAGCCTTCCTATTAAATTTGCATTACTGTTAGGGCAGCACGTGTGCCCTTGCACTAAAATCATTCTCATCATCCTCATTGTAGTAATTGTAACCACTACCAGCAATGTTCAGAAAGTCTACAAGGACCTGTAGAAATTGTGCAAATTGAGTAGATCTGGAATTTCTTTTCTTATTTTGCACAACCTGTTCCCTGGTTTTGTGATTTGGTGATAGTTTATTTTGGTTTTGTTAGCCATAGGAGTGGGAAGCACACTGGAGGCCAACCAGTCTTTAAGAATCCTCTTCATCCATGCTCTAGCTTTCAGATTACCAGTGGGATTTGGTCACACATTTTCAAGCACTGTCTACACACGTTTGTGTTACAGCCACGAGGGCTCAAAACTTGCATTTTGAAACAAATAAAAATTGAGGCTTTCAGCTAGCTTTCAGAAAGCTTCTGGAGTCTTCGTTTCTATGCTTTTCACATACAATCATAGCCTACACACAATGCTGTTTATAATAAATATAATGTTCCTTTCATTTGTTCACAGATGTGCTACTGGGCTAACAGTTATTACATTAAAATCAACTTAAGGTTGGTTTGGACCCAGCAGATTAGTGGTAGATGTTGAAATACAGCCCCTTGTCAATAGCCATACCCCTGTGGAGAGTTGAAACATGAAAATGACTATGTTGATTTAAAAATTTCTAACAGGTTTAGTCTCTGTTAGGATCTAGTGTTTTGTAAAACCATCCCCAAATACTTTGAATTACAATACGGATAGTAATATAACATTGCCAGAAAATTCTATTTTGTCTCAAGTTGCTGTAAGGATTTCAGTGAAACCCAAAGGAAACAGAGAAGTCAAGATGGCACAGAAGGGGCCAATGATGTCATGGTCTCTGTTTATCAAAAAGTCCCAGGCCTTTGACCCTGTGAGTTCTGGCTCCTGAATACCACTGTTCAGATTTTACCTTTCTATGTCTTTCCAAAAGTAATCTCCAATGATTAACAGAATTTATTTCTAGATAAGTGTGTCTAAGAGAGCCAGTTTGGTGTAGTGGTTTGAACATTGGACTATGATGCAAGAGATTAGGGTTTGAATCCCTGCTTAGACATAGAAACCCACTGGGTGACCTTGGACAAGTCATACTTTCTGAGCCTCAAAGGAGGGCAAAGGCAAAGCTTCTCTGAACATATCTGGCCAAGAAACCCCCAATGTAGGGTCAACTTAGGGTTGCCATAATTCAGAAATGACTTGAAAGCACACAATGACAATCACAATTCTGAATAGACTGCAGTGTTGTGTTTACCTTATTGCAGCAGAAGTGTTTAGGGGTTACTTGGTGATGTTTTTTGTGATGACAGCTCACAGTCATGCCTTCTCTTCCTGAAACAACATTGTCCTATGTTACATTATGCATGCAAGACTATAGGTGCATGAGTAAGTTAGAGGACAGAAAATCTGAACTAGTCATTAGAGTTCCAGTACAAATGCCTGAATAGAAAGATGAGCTTAGCAAAATGTTTATGTTTGCAGATCAAGGTGTGTAGTTCCCCCCTGCCCCATGAAAGAAGAGTCCTGTCACATCTTCCATAATTGATGCAGTATCTCCACTCAGAATAATCTATTGGGTCACCTAGTGAAACCTTGGATTTCACCAGTCATCCATTGACATGCAATCAATTTATGAATTTCACTGCCTTAAGATGTGAAAATGGCCACTAACTTAAATGGACTGACCCCCCCCCCAAAAAAAGTTAGAATTGTGAAGAGCAGATCTAGTAGCTAAAGATCATTCTATCTAACAGCTAATCAGAGCCTCCATACTCAGAGGAACTATACCTCTGTATTCCAGACTCTAGGGGAAGGCCATCACTTTCATGTCCTTGTTAGCTTGCATCAACATGTGGCTGGAAAAGAGGACTAGCCTAGTGCCAAGGACAGCAAGGGGGCAACACTTCAATGAAATTAAATGCAATTAGAATGCTATTCTAGAGAAATGGTAGGATCTTCATCAGATGCTTACACATTAGTCAGCTCAGACAAAATGTCCATTTCACTCAGAATTTTCTTTCCAATAGCTGATTTGCATCTTCTTTAGGAAACTGCAGGATTGAATTTTTAATTTGTTGTTGCTTTGTATGTATATTTTGTAAATTGTACCTGGGCACATAGCTACATTTAAAGTTTCCTTTTCTCCTGAAGAGAAAAAGGGAATGTCTAGGTCCAACTCGTGGAGAGGTTTTCAGTCAGTAAAATGCAACAAATTTGGCATTTTTAACACAACAACAACAACAACTAAGGTCCAAAACACACTGCAGAATAATCCACTTTTTACTGCTTGAACTGCCCTGGTTCAGTGCTAGGGAATCCCAGAAATTGTAGCTTATTGTAGCCCCAGAGCTCTCTGACAGAGAAGGTTAAATGTAGTAGTAGTAGTAGTAGTAGTAGTAATAATAATAAATTTTATTTGTATCCCACCCCTCTGTCAAACAATCGGGGCGTCTTAAAGCAATTAAAATTCCATATAATACATTAAAACACAATAAAACAAAAACAAAAAACCCAGAACCTTCCCACCCCTTAAAAAGTATTAAACTAGTATTACCATTAAAATATGTTAATTAAAACATCAAAATGAACAAAACTCCTTACACAAACAGACAATACAAGACAAA